TAATGGAGGATTTAATCCTTTAAAAAGATACCTCGATTGTTGTTTAAATTAGAACCAGGACCAGCGAGAGGTTCTGAAGTAAAACCAGGATTCATACGACTGCTCGTGCAGTAATTGTAAATCCCACTAAATCATTCATAAACAATAGATTAGGGGATAATATAATGCACGATATAAGTTCTGATGAGGTGTTCTTCAATTAATAGTAGTGATCACAACGTAATAAATAGGGAATGTACGGAAACTGTAACGCAGTAAAATTTATTCCGCTTTTCTTGCTGCGCAAAGGTTGTAAAAATTAAACATAAAAAAGAGGATACGTATAAAGATCCATATATCTCTTGTAGCTAAGCCCCTCTTCCAATCTATTCATAATTTGACTAATACCGCTCTCCAGGAAGGCCCAAGTGGCCGCCAGGTCGTTAGGAGGCGGCAGGGCTGGATTAGACTCCATACTAAAAAAAGTTCGATAAATATAAAATTTAAAATCAACCTTCTATAGAGAGTACAATAATTCGTATACCTAAAATAAAAGGTAATCGCTAATAATCAAAGAAGAATGCAGAATTTGTCGTTTGACGAAAGAACTTTCGCCTCTCGTGTTAAAGGGGAATAAACTGTCCTCAAATTTTAGTGTAGATGCCTATCCGTTTTATACTGAATTAGCCCAGAAAAAATAACCCGGAGTTTTGCCCGGAACTATACTCCTTTTTTGTGATTTTGGCCGGACACCGTTGTCGCGTATTATGTATACAAAGTTTTAACTTTTTTAAATGCCTTCGATTATTTACAAGAGTATAACAATTATTACCATAATCATGCTTAGAATAAATAATAAGAATTATTATTTACAACTTAGAAATAATTAAATTCAAAGAATTATTTAATGATTAAATTTATAAATAAAACAAATATTATTTTTTTAATTTAAAAAGAATCTTTGAAAATGCAAATGTATAAAATTACATCATAAAAATTTTTCTATATATTAATACTTAGGTCTAAATCTCTAGATGTGATTTGGAAATAAAATTATAATTTTATATATTTAAATCTGGATATAATTATATTTTTTATAATTATATTATAAAAATCCTTAATTTTTTTTTTTTAAAACCCTTAATTAGGCTAAAGTCATTTATTTATTAAATTATAGTGAACCATTACAATTACAATTGTATGTATAAATCTTCTCAACCTAGCTAATCTGTCTATAATATTAAATCTTTAAATACAATTTATAAAAATAATATATTGCTTATTTATTAATTGAAATTAAGATTTCTTTTGTTTAATAGAATTATAACCTGCAGATATTATAAAAATCCTTAATATATTTTTATATTTTTATATAATAATAATAATTTTTTTTAATTTAACTTGTAGAGCTTTATTATTTATATTTTATAGTTTAATAATATATAAATATCAATAAATTAATTTTTTATTTTTAACTTTCATCCATTTATCATTAATTCTTTAAAAATTTACTTTTATAATAATTTTCTTTGAAAAAGTATTTTCTACTCTTTCAATATGCTATCTATATCATAAATTTAAGGATGTAAAGACTTTAAAAACTACTGTTGCATTGGGATAGAACTTCTGAGCAAAGATCAAGCAAGTTTAAAAGTCTTGTTTGTTCTTTATTTATATCAGTCAGGGAATATGTCACATGTTAATATATATGAGTATCCGATCATAGTAAAAATGTAGATCACATTTTGAAAATTTACTATAAAATTTTCGAAAAAATTTTATTTGCTCTTAATCAAACCACATGATCATCAATCGATATCAAGAAAATTCTCTAAATAATGGTATTCTACGGGGTTCAATCTATTAGCAACAAAAATTTGGAAAAGTATTAGATATGCAAATGGAAAAGGATGTCGGGCTCGAAGTTCACTATTGCCTCCAAGCCTAACTATAGTAAAAACCACGAATCTTCATACTACTTATTAACTTATTAAAATTACAACAAATTGATTTTAGTGCCGTTATAACTATGAGGGAAGTATTAACCTTTTTCTTGCCTGTCTTCACACGTGTTTCTCAATATTTTCTCAGATGCTTGAACAAATGAACAAACTTCAACACTCACAACTTCAAGCTCTGACGGCAATAAATAGCCAATTGGATAACATTCCACAACACGCAAACGGACAGAACATCGATAGTTTAGTCAATGGTTTAAAGTTCAGGCGTAGACTAAGTTTTCAACAGCAATCATCTTTACCACTGCGACCGGAAATTTCAGATGGAAAGAACATCGATGGTATAATGGAAGTGGAAGAAGCTAATGATTCCTTCTCATCGTTAAAGCGGTCATCAAAAATTTTGAATCGTAATGCGAAAGATCTAACTTCTGGCAATAATACCGGAGAACTAGATTGGAAGTATCTCTTGGCGGAACCAAATTCTGATCCGGAGAACATGAATGAGATGGATAATAGCATGGAAGAAAAGGATGACGATGATATATCGTTACGACGGCGGAGGTTTAAAAATCTACCTAATCTTACGATAAATACGAATGCCAACTCGTCACATCATTTAATAACTCCCGAATCTTCTGATTCAGAGTTTGATATCTCAACTGCACATATGCCATTTGCGCCTACTCTGGGTGAATGTAGAAATCCTCTGCGTGTCTCGAGACACAGTTCGTCCGAAATCTACAAGGGTGATAGGCGTGGTATAGTATTTAATTCGATGGATGAAGTGATCGAAGAGGAAAGGGGGTCATTGTCGGATGCTGCCGAACATAAGATTGTTGACGAACGATCCTCTGAAGATGGAGCTAGGACACGAGGCAAACAAACGATATCAGCGAATGGACGAAGGCATCCACAAAAATATGTGGACGAATATGACACAGAGGCGGACATCAAAAAATCAAACCGAATGAACCTTCAGTCACAGATAAATGGGTCTTACCCGATTGCTGAAGTGCAAGATTATAGTTGCAGTGTATTATCCGACTGGATGAAATTGGCGCGTTGAGATCGCGCATTCAGAAACTGGAATCAGAACATGCTAGTAGTCTTGATGGTAATTTTCGTCGTTATTCGTTTTTTTTACTTGATCTGCCAGAAAAAGAAAAAATTGTAGTAACAATAGTATTTATCATTTAACTTTGATAGATTCCATGTCTGAAAGGAAACAATGAAGAAAGAAAAACATCTCGGAACCATTAACATCCCATCTGCACTATCTCCCAATAGTTCGCAAGGTGGTGCAAGCTCTTCGAATGCCAGCGCCCAACGCCGCTCCTTGGTGACCGCTTAACAACACAACAAGCACCTGTTGCAACTTTAGGAAATATATTATGGATTACAATCCGTAGACGATCAATATAGTCTTGGAGACTCTATTATTGATATGAGATAAGTACTTTTAAAAGTTCTTATTTCGTAAATTTGCATTAGGTGAACATTGTTCTTGCATCAGGGATGGAGACGGAATTGACGATCCTGTTCAAGATAATCGACCGCGTCTATTGATAGTGGGCCTAAGGAGGTGGGTAAGAAAAAACTTCAAAGTTTATTATCCTAGAAAGAAGTCGTTTTAAACTTTTGTCTAACTTCACCAAATATATTATAGGAGTGGAAAGTCCAGCATCCAAAAAAAAAAAAAAAAAAGTGGTTTTCCATAGCATGAACATGAATGACATACTTTTCCTTGAGTCTACCAATATCATAATCAAAGAAAACTTCTAGTAATCATGTTTACTTATATTTCAATTTATTGCAATTTGCCAACATAGATAACATAAGTTTTTCATTTATTCAAGCCATTCATCGACTTTCAAGTGTGGGACTTTCCGGAACAGCTCGATTTTTTTGATCCGACTTTTGATACAAGTGCTATTTTTGGAGAATATGAGGCATTAATTTTTGTTATAAATGCTCAAGTGAGTTTATATCTTGTTAGTGATATAAAGAGGTTTTTTATTAAATCATTGGAGTTAACAAATGACTTGAATATACTAAAAATTTTTACAATCTTATCAGAACGTCATTTGCACTTTTCACAATAATATCAAATATATCGAATTTTTATTATAATCGTGTATTATACTGTATATCAGAACTATATGTTAATAAATCACTATTAATAAAAATTAATAAAACGATGATTAGTGAAGAGTTTAGTTGTAATAATATGTATTGTAAAAATATTGTAAATTAAAATATTTAAAAAACCCATATATTATTTTAATAAAATGTATGTAGCGAATAATCTTGGTACCATAGTTTATTTCTCAATATGATTCGCCCATATTTTTTATAAAAAAACTTGCCCGTAACATATCTACAATATTATAATCTTTAAATATGTAAATTTGTCTGAAACATATGAAACGCATTTTCTGAAACGCTCTTGTTAGGAATGTCTTTTCAAACGTCACTCCAAAAACGCCCTTTTAAAAGTCTTCTTTTTTGATCTCTGAAAATTCTTCTGAAACATTTTCTCAATTATGTTTAAACCGCTTTTTTAAAACATGTTTCTAAAATAATTGTTATGGTAGTTAGTCGAATTCATTATAAATAAGACACCTTTGGACTTTTGTTCGAAATTGTACTAATCTGAAATTATTAATTACAAATACTTACTTCAAAACTCTTTTAATAAATCTATTTCCATAATCAATTCCTATCAGCTATGGATAGTTATTATTCAGGACTTAAAGATCCGGATGTAACTTTGATTTCTGATCAAAATATGGACGATTATTCTGAACCTGTATATCTTGAAGAAGCTATGATTATAGATCAAAATACGGATGATTATAGTTCTAAGCTTGAAGACCCGGAAGAAAATTGGATTACAGATCGAGATGATCAAGAATTTACTCATGATTATTTGGCTGCAACAAAAGTAAGAAGTTTGTTAGAAGATCAGATAATAGAAAATGAAGAAGGTGATGTTGAAAATATGTTACCTGAGGATGAAGAAGATGAGAAACATGAAATTCCAGAAGTTGAAACGAAGAAACGGTCACCCTGTGTCATTTTTGATAATTTAAATGGAGAGGTTAAACATTGCAATTCAACAACTAAGTTAGTATCATTATCTCAGTTAATTGGAACTTGGGAGATAGAAATAACCCCAGAAGAAAATTTAGACATAACCGAGTTAGGAGTTTGTTCAAGTCATTTCAATTTTGACCATAGCAAACTTCACTCATCCGGTATTAAACAAAGAAGAAAAGCGAGTAAAAGTATAATTCATACAAAAAAATGTTTATTCTGCAACAAATATAAAAGGTTCTTTAGCAGAGGTAATAATTGTATAGAACATTGCTGGAATGTATGTAGAAAAGACATTCAAGTACCATGTCTTGGTTTTAAATCGTATCCAGCTTTCCAAATAATTCCAAATATTACTTCGAGGGTTACTAATGATAATCACGTAAGATATATCTGCACAAGTTGTTTTGAAGGCAATGGTGGACATCTTCATATACGTCAAAAATCAGGAAATACACCTATAACATGTGTTGATAATGAATTACATAGCAATGATACTAACCATGTTTTGAGACTTTTCTCAAATTGGCTATCAAATCTCTCATATTCTCAAGATAAGAGCGAAAAGAAAAAGGTGCTATGGCATATGATGAAATTATTGGAGTCTCCAAAATCAAGTTCATTATCCTCTACTGACACAGAGCATAATTTACCTAGTCCATTGCTTGTAAAAATAGCTATGAAAATTAATAAACTCGAAAATTATTCATTTACGGATAAAAAGCATATAAAAGCAGAAGAATGCAAACAATTTGGAGAAATGCTAGGGGAATCGATATGTAACTCATGCGATGAGATTGAAAAAAACCATAATAAACTAGAAAATCCATCATCATTAAATGAATATTACTTTAGTTTTCCCTTAACTCTTACTAGTTTTTTTTATGGATTGATCAAATCTATTGAAAAACGAAAATATGCAGTAAGAGAAAAGAAAAAAAGACAACGTGGAAAAGCATCATCAGAATTTGATACAAGTTCTATAAAAAAAATTACATCATTTCTTGCATCTATTATTCTGACAATAGCATTCCATTCATGGAAGATATGGCTTACCTATATTATAGCTTCATTATGCAAAAAACCCAAGTTAATATCTTCTTTGCAAGCAATTCTACGTGCAGTACACATTACATCTCATACATGGAAACATGAGACGAGATTGGAAAAGGAGCGTGTTAAAAAATCAAATCCACTAACGAGATTGATAAAAGACCCCAATATATGGAATGTTGCAGTTATTGATAATATTGATTTTAAAAATATTGTCTTTAAGTATGGAAATATATATGATGTTACACAGCAATCTGCACATGCCACTTTAAGAATAGTATTCCAGTTCGAGCTTCCGTTTAACATTTCGTCCCTTGTTCAAGAAAATCCAAAACCTCAAAAAAATCTATTTGGTCAATCAGAATTTATATCCAAATGGGATGAAAATTTTGATCAAATCATAGAACAGTTAGTAAATAAACATAAAAGAAACTTTGGCATTAAAGAAATTAATGAAGAAATATCTTCTAAAATAGAATCAGGATGTCGAATAAATTCACCTAATGTTGTTATATTGGAACCTGGACCAGCACCTAATAGCAATGCTGCCGTATTTGAGTCAATCGATATGTATCTAAAAGATCTTGAACAAGATGTTATTGATTTAGCATGTGATGCAGCTATTTTTGCAAGAACTAAATCATATAAAAATAAAGATTTATCTTGCAGATTTATTCTTGGACAATGGCATATATCAAAGGCCATGTGCAGTGCTTTAATTATAGCATTCAGTGGATATGGTCTTTATAGTATGGCGGCAAAACTTGGTGTGCAATTTCTTGACAAGTTGGAACAAAACGTAGATTATCGTGCGACTTGTAAAGTGTTAGAATTAATACATTCTGCTGTAGGAATAGCAATTCGTCTTCATTTAAATAGTAAAAATATATCATTAGATACAGAAACCATATTTAAAGGAAATAATAATATCTTAAAAGTATGGTTTTTATATTACCATTTAGCCGGATATTGGAAAGGTCATCGTGTAGGAATTCGTTTAGGTAATGCAGATATGCAATTAAAAAATTTAGCTGCATTTGCGCCATTGTTTCCTGCAACTGGAAAAAATATTTATACATCATCAGTTGTAACCTTTTTGGAGTCAGTGTCATGCCATCCACAGCAACATGAACTATTTAAACATGTCGCATCAGTAAATATTACTAGAGAAAATCATTACCTAGCTTTTGATGAAGCTTTGGAACAATATGGTGTGAAATTTGTTAAACAAAATTTAACATCAGGCTTATCAGATCCGGTAATTCTAAAGCAAAGAATAATGGCGATTCAAGATGAACGTGATAGATTGTTGCTTTTATATAACGAATTTGTGGAAGATAATGTAGTTAGTACAGAAGATCGAAATACTAAACAATACATCAAAGCTTTCTGGAAACTTGTTGATGAACTTACCAGCGTATTTAATCACCCTGATCCTATACAACATAATCTTTTCCGACATGCACAAGAAATGAAACCAGATGGTTATACACGAATGTTTAATTTTTATAATAAGGGTCTTGTTCGGCTATATAATATTCTACATGAGGATATCTATAAAACTAAAGAGGTGGTTACTAAGGGAAGATGGGTTAAGGAATTAGTTAATGTCTCAGCTAAAAAATATTTATTATCTTTGAAAAATGATTAAAGAATATATAATTAATAAATTTTAAAATAAATTACCTAATTAGTATAGATTTATACTTTCCGGATCTTCATAATTCTTGTCTTGTTCAAATATTTTGCATTTTGATTTCTTGATCCCGGGTTGATTGAACTTCTAATATCTATGAAAGACGTTATAAATCTTTAATTCAATTTAACATAAAAATTTATTAATAAAAGCTACTTTATACCTCTAAATAACCATATGGCTTGTTGTTTAAACTAGCTTATAATTTAATAAAATCTAGTATAACTTACCTTCGTGAAAAGGATGCAGGCAATAAAGTTAAAAATTACGCTCTTCTTTGATCTGTAATATCTAAAAATAAATAAAATAAAAATAAAAAAAGCGAAGTTATAAGTAAGCAAAATAAAGTAAGAAAATTGAATTTTATTAAGACATAAAGATCAAGTTTCTAGTAAGTTTTACAGTTTTACTTGTAACGAACGAAAAGCAAGTATATAATTTTTGTGTAACGTTACTATATAAATCGATCATCGTGACATATTCCCTGACTGATAGGTGGAATCATTATTAATAGAGAAACACAATCACAAGTGGAATTCAAAGGCAGATATGAAGGGTTTCCATTTTCTACAAGAGCAGAGCTCTTGGCAATTCTAACAGCACTGGTAATAATAAACACAAATACAGCTGCAACAATATATACAAACAGCCAAAGCACAATACATGCAATACTATCCAAACTTTCCAAAAAGCAGTAACTGGTGAAAGCAACAAATCTCCTAACAACAACACTCATCATGGATACTATCCAATCTAGAAAAGTAATAACAGAGTTTAGAAAAATCAGGGCTTACGTAGAAAATAACAATAATGACAGAGCAGACACACTAGCAAAGGAAGGAAGAGAGCTAGGATATAAATAGTTGGTAGGAATCGAAAGCCAACACATCGATAGTTTGATTTGTACTCTGCAATGGAACAAAGAAGATCTGGATATTGGTACCAGTGGGTTTATGAAACAATGGCAAAACAGCAAATGGATCAGTGCATGGGCCATACAAAGAAGATATAAGGCATGGTTAAGAACAGGCAATGAAAGAGAGATAAACTGGAGAAGAACATGGGCCAGCTTGTTACTATCAAAAATTACCAGCTTTGAAACTAACCAACATGACTACAATATTAGAGCCTTCAGGTACAAACTTCTCAATGACAAATTGCCAACAAAAGACAAGCTATATAATAGAAAACCAAACCTTTACAAAGATGGAAAATGCCCCTGGTGTGCTCATCAGGAAACCACAGAACACATATTCAAAGAACACTACGCAAACCAAGTTAGACCAAAATTCCTTAAAATCCTAAAAGAGGAAACTTCAAGTAGAATACAAGACAAAGGGAACAAATGCAATTGGCAATGCCAGCTGGAAAAGATAGTAACCGACTCAGAAAGAAATCTCAGGTATATAACCAAAGGTATTTTCAGCAAAGATCTAATATCGCTTATTAAACAAGTAAATGGAACAAGAACTAAAGACACACTGAAGAAAACAACAGCTAGAATGATAGAAGCATTACAAAAGCTATGGATACAAAGGTGCGAATGGTTTCAGCAATGGGAAAAGAGCAAAAACATTAGTAAGATAGACAAAAGAAGCAAGAACCGAAGGCAATCTCAGAATAATCAATCCACCATTCAATCCAATCAACAGGGGGTATTGAAAAGACAGGAGGAGATAACAAATATGCAGCGAAAGCTCTTAGAGAGCTGGCTGGACCAGGGAAACAACATCATCAATTTCAATTTTTATTTTTCTATTCATATAATAGCAATACTGACGGAGCTTTGGCACATTAGCCTTGACATGTACCAATTGGACAAGTCAATAGCAACAAGCCGATATGAAAGGAATTTGATATAGCCTAACATGCATCTAGAATAGTTTATAGATAGTAACTCTTGTAAAAGAAATACATATGTAAACTAAATAAAGCATGTTAGGCAAGGCCTAGCTAGTTGAGTTAAAAAAAAAAAAAAAAAATTACAGTTGATTTCTTTGTTTTTGATAATAAGACTGTAAGCAAGATAATTAGTTTCGCAGTTTAACCAATTTCTCTTAATAGTTTAAATATTTATATTCAATAATGATATGACCAAGGAACTTGATTTTTTTCTGGAGAATCATAATACAATCAACAATAGCGTCAGGATATTCAATAGTATGAGCAAGTCTGTTAATATAAGACATGATTATAATCAAAGGAATGGGAAATAAAAAATAATAAGAAAAAAAAATCGAGCTCTTAAATATAGAAGTAACCAATGATTTTGATTAGCGTAATCTCAAAAACTTACATAAATACTCCTGATCCTGAGAAAATTTCTATTATAAAAATATTCAAACTTACATGTCAATAATCAGCCTTGGGAAAAATAAACTTACTCAAAATGAATACACTTTTTATTTTGAATGAAACCCTTGAAAGATTTATTATATCATATAATCCAATCACATTAATTAATGAATCTATTAAAACGATGATCTTGGAAATTATCCAATATATGTGACAATTTCATCGAATTGTTATATTAGTTCACTTGTATTATTTGGAAGAATTATTGGAAGCCATAAGGAATATACAACAAACTTGAAGAGAATATATCCAAAAATATCCATTATTCAATTATAAGAGATTTTTTTATTTAGTTCACATCTGTATTTACATGTTTTTCACAGGTAACTACTATCTATGAGCTATTCTAGACCACCGTGGATTATTATCGGGGCTGGTACCCCCATATCGGCTTGACGCTACCAACTAACCATCTCAGGAGAGTCAGGAACTAACGTGCATATGCTCCATTAGTGTCGTTATTGTAAGTATTAAGTTCTATTTCTGACCGGGGATATTAAGGGGAAGTGAAAGGGGAAACTGGGGAGTAGTACCTATTATGGCGAATAGAACTCTGTAGAGGACACCTCCAATGCAGGAAGAGACACCAGGTACCACGGGGAACGATCACCAAGCCATCTTTTCTCAAACCGGACGCCTTCTGCACCTTTTTGTTATCCAACTTCTGGCGACCATCGTAGCACCAACCGGACGATCGTCACGCCACGACGCCTTTTCTGGAGATCACAATCTTAACGCCTACCGGATCGGCATGTGAAATGGCTTCTTATGAGAAACGGCACATAACTGGCTATGGTACCGGATACCATATTAATTCTATTCAATCGCCTTCACATGGGATTGAACTGGTATCTTGTGATCTGACCTGTGGAGCACTAACCACTGTGCTATGGACCCACAGGTCATTAGTTATTGATTTAAAAGAGCTTTAATTTATTAATATAAATTTATTTTTTATTTTTTATTTTTAAGACTATAATAATTTATTAAGATAATAATTACAAATATAAATTGGTAATAATTTTTTAATTTAAATTAAAAAATATCTTTATATTGTTTTTTTAAAAAAAAGTAATATTTTTATAATTTTATAATTTTATTTAAAGAATTGAAAGAATTCAACCGTTTAAAATAGTTAATACTATATAATAATAGTTTAATAAAACAATTCTTTTATAATGAAATAGTTAGTAAATAACTAGATTACTATATATAAGCAATATAGTATCTTGGAATTAAGGATTCAAAAATTATATATAAATCTATTAAACTTATTAACAAATATATTATAACTTGTAAAAATGTTTATAGTATAATAATAATATCATATTATTATATTCTTGCTTATAAAAACTAATAAATAGTCTTAACTTATAAAAAAATAAAATAAAATAAAAATTTTATTTATAATAAATTCAAATCAAAATCAAAATCTAATTTATATTTATTTAACAAACCATTTTTTACAAAATAATATTAATTAATTTTTTATTATTTTTATAGAATTTTTTATTTAAAATAATTTTAACTATTTAAAAAATATTTTTATTTTATTTTCAATTTTTATAATTTAATTTTTCTTAATTTAAATAGATATTTATAATTGCTTAGCTTTATTTAATTGTTTATATTTTTTAAAAAAATTTCAATATTGTTAATAATTATTGTAAGTAAACTAATATTTAATTTATTATAATTGTATATAAAATATTGTTTTTTTTAAAGATATACAAATAAATAAATAAATAAGGTTAATTTATTTTAAAAAAATTATAGATTGTTATTAAAATATATAAAATATTCCATAATTTATTATAAAGATGTGTACATAAGAAAACCTTTGTATAGTACTTGGGTCAAATTTTATATCTCTAATTAGAATTATATATAATGATACATGAGATTGGTTAGTATTTTCATAAAAATAATACTCGGGTATTATTTAATGGAAGTATTATAAAAAGTAAAATTATGAAATTTGAAATTTAAATGTTTATTACAAATAAGTGTTACCAACATAAATTTTTCGGAATATAGTACGCAAGGCGATAATTACCAGAATAATTAACCGTTCCCTTACAAAGTACATATCAATTTGTGTTAAATTATTAATAGATACAACATAAATTATTTTGTGTAAATTGGGATTTTCGATAATTCTAGCGAGTTTTTTTATATAAATGAGGTTTCTTTCTCTTCGACACTACGTCCCTAAATCCGAGATATTTTGTTATTACCTTCTATACTTCATCCGATAATAAAATTCACAATCATGAACTACCGTATTTCAATTATTACACTCCTTTTTATCTTAGCACAAATTTTTGCCATCGATGCACGTCATAGGCACGTTTGTACTGTTACTACAGCTATTCCCAAAACTGTAACCCTTACCACTTGTAATAAAACAACACCTACTCAGACCTACGAAGTTCCGGAATATCCTCACTTTAAAAAATATTGCAAAACGACAACAACAGTTACTATTTCTCCAACAGTCACCCATTGCGCGACTTGTTGCGAAATTTCTGGTGGTCCTGGATGGGAAAACACGATTCTAATTGGTAAAAATACCGTAACTTATACAGATGATACAACCCCCCAAGATTGCTGTAAATCATGCATGGCTGATTCAAAATGTGCACAATGGGCATTTGTCTTTTCTGAATGTCAACATAATGTGGGAACTACGTGTCAGGGTCGACGTGTTGCACATGAAAATAGTGGCATTATGCGTTGCACTGGTGAAGGTTGTTATCCCAAATATAAAAGCTAATGAGAAAAATAATAGTATTAGTTACACACGTTTGCTCTTAATAGTAAATTTTTGTTCCACCAAATATCGCGAAAAAAAAATGATTTGTTTACTTTGTCTGAAATTTCCGTGAGAAAGGAGACAATGAATTTATTTGGTTTTTATGTATGAAAAAGGAAAAGCGTCATGCGATTGCACAATTAATACTTAATATTTGCATTATTGAGTATATGCTATAAACTTGATAAAGGTATTACTTATATTATTAGGAAAAAAGAACCTAGAACTATGTTCATGTGCTACTGTTCAGTACTGTGATCAAGTTAAAGGGTCACGGCTAATGACATAGATCCAATAATGAGGGAGCACGAGAATACATTAGTTATTAGTGTATACATACTCATTTTATTGCTTATTATCAATAATGCACAAACAATATGCTTAAACCTTTTTACTTTAATGTTTCTCAGCGTATTAGAGACAAAGTGGATGCAACCTCGATTATTATTTTGTAAACAAATGCAGAAACATACTGCAACTGTGGTTATTCTAGAGTTCGATAGAAATTTGATGACACAGAGATGCTGTAATATATCATTTTAGAAATATTTCGAACAATAAAAACTTCTCTGGTTCCAAAATATAGCTAAAATCAGGTTATTTGGATCAAAGAAGTTATCGAAGGGCCACAAGACTCTAGAGAGATGAAATACATACGAAATATTAATAAACTAGAATATTGTAAGCAAGAAATATTTCTTATTTATACAAGACACAATAAATTAAGAACTTTTAATAGCAGAAAGTGATATAACACATCAGCTTTACAAACAAGAGATAATGTAATTTATGTTTATAGAGATTAAATTTTATTTGTATTTTATAATTAGTTGGTTTTTTTAAATAAAAATAAAATATATATACCTGCTATTGGATTTTTTTTTATTTTTATTTTTAATCAAACTACAATAATATGTTATTAATTACCTTTGATTAGAATACAATAATACAACAATAAAATTATTATAATAAAGTTAACATTTTTCTAATTACAAATCACCTATCAATAAGTTTATAGATTTGCATATAATTCTTAAATCCTTAACATCAAGACTATCATATTGCTTATATAATCTAGTTATTTATTAACTATCTCACTACAAGAAAGTAGATTTATTAAACTATTACTATATAATACTAACTATTTAAGACTTTTCAAATCTTTTTAATTATTTATATATAATTATCAAAAATAAAAAATTCTTTTTTTAAAAAAAATACTGTATCATACAAAAATATTTATATCTAATTTAAAATATTATAACCAATTTATATTCGAAAATATCATTTTGATATAAATTTATAAATTATTTATATCTGATTTAAAACATTTACATTTGAAACTATTGTTTTGATAAAGCTTGTAAATCTAAATTAAAATTTTTATTTTTTAAAAAAATCGAAATAAAAACAGAAAAAAATGTTTATATTAACAAATAAAATTTTTAAATTAATATCTAGTCTAATCACTTGCAATTTATAAAATAATTTAATTTTATTATTTTATTATTAATTAAAAATATTTAAAATATATTTATGACAAAACTTATTATCTTTATAGTCTTTATATAATAGTTTTATACTTTGTTATTATGTAATTTTATTATTTGAATACTTTTTTAAAATAATTAATAATAATAATAATGATTCTTATTAAATTTAAATAAGATTTTTCTTTGATTTTTTTAAAAAAAAACCAATAAATAAATAAATATATATATAATATATAATAAAACTTTTTGAAATATATTTATGTGATATATGACCTACCCGGTTATAGTCTAGTGGGCTAAGGCAGGATAGGGCTAACCCATGACCCATGGTTCAACTCCAGCTAGGGGACAATTCACATATCCCAAAAAGGACTTTGTGTCACTGCCCCTGTAACTCATAATAGAGAGCGATTTGGGTTGTTTCGGCGATCTGGGAGCCTTATGGGTAGACTACATCCCATAGGTCGAAAAGATAGATGATCTGATTGGTAAACTTTCTGATCAAGTATTGCTCGGGAAATACCTTCAAAAGGGGGAAGAAGTTTCATGGGATCTTTCCGGTAGCGGAAAGAAAGGTACAGACGGCTAAAACCATTAGTCGCACAACTATTAGTAAGAGTTTCACATGCCAATGGTAGCGAGGATCTGGTTGGGGGTGTAGGAGGTTGCTTGTATTACAGGATGTTCTATCCTAAGGGGTACACTTGCGACGATTGACTGCATGACCCCATAAAACATAACCCTCACATGTGTTGCTAGGTTAGATTAGGAAGGGTGAGGCTGGGTCCGATTCCCAGACAAATTTGGTGTACTGATGTACCCTTATCCCGCCAATAATATTTTACTGACTAAAATCCTAATAAGTCTTGGCTAAACTGAACGGTTGAAAAACAGTAGTGGTGACTGCTGGCAAAGATCATCAAGTCCATAGAATACATAGGCTTGTTTAAAATGTAGCAAATTTATTCACCCCCGTGTCTAGACTTAGAGGCTTAGGCCTAAGACGAGGATTTGATATTTCAGATTGCATTCATGCATCCCGGAGAAACACCGGGAGGCAGGAAGAAGGACACCAATAGATGTCGAGCTGACGTGCGGTCAAAAAAAAAAATATATATATATATATTTATGTGATATAAATATAAATAACTTTTTTAAACAAAAGCAATTTAAATGAAATTTTAAATATATAAATAATATATCTTAACAAATATACAGTATATAGTGGTACCCATAAGTTTTTGGAAATTTTTTTTGAAAAATTAAAAAATATATTATTATTTAATAAATATTAATCTAAAAAATACAAAAAAAAATTAATATAAATCTTTTAGTATTAATATTATTTAAATATTATATATATATATATTAATGTTATATTTTAAAAAATATATTATTTTTTAAAAAAAAACTCTTTCCCGCAAATCTTTTTTTTCCAAAAAAATTTCCTTTTATAGCAACAGGCAAAATTCAAAGGAGAAAAAAAACAGCAGGCACTCTTGGGAGCCCTACTCCCAAGGGCAAACCCCCAAACACTTCTCACACCCTCTTGGACATTGTAATCTCAAACCCAAGCGACCAACTTTTCTCCGTAGTTTACAAGGAAACCAACACAAACAATATTCTCATCACTGAACCAGCAAAACATGTCTCTATTCCTCTTCTAACTGACACTCCCAAGTTTTGGATTGTACCTTTGCAAAACCCAAACACCGACAACAACCCTTCACAAGTGGACACCGCCTTTATTGGATTTAAACATGCCGCAACCAACTCCAGCTCCTCTTCACATCCCTATACAACTGCATCCCTATCTATCAACAACATGAAAAGCAACACCCAGAACAACCTCAATGACTTCTTCTCCTATTTGGAAAGAAATAACCTTGCCTCCAGCATAAGGGAGACCATCGTAAGGAGCGTGCTAGACAAAAAACTCAACTATACCTTTCACCTTTCTTGAAATCAGATTAATATTCTAAAAACTGGAAGTAAATTCATACTAGAGAAAATACAAAACACATCATCACACACACCACCCAATACACCAATTCAAGATAACGAACCAGAAGACAATAGTCAAAGTTCTTCTGCAAATCCAATGGGAAAAAAATTGGCCTCCCAAATCCCCAAAAAAACCCCAAGCAGCTTACCCCCAACTATTAATCAACGATGCGATACGGTTTCACCAAATCCAACTGAAGCACAAGCATGCAAACCCCTGAACACAAATTTCTCATGCGATTAACAAGTTACAGGTGACATGATGCAAGTGGACGATCACCAGTTTGCAGTCACCCCTGAAGCCAATCAGGATAAATCTGGTAGCACTATTAGACCAACTAGTCCCGTTTCAGACACAGATATCTCAATGAACCCATTGGATCAAGAAATTTCACTGGGAAATACCGATTCACTAATTGAATTCGAAAAACAAGTACAAATTGAATTGAACACCTTACAAAACCCATCTCTGGAAGTAGTATCCACCCCTCTTATACCGCCACCTAGCACTTGCTCAAATGAATTACCTTTAGGCGAGTACATGCAAGATACCGATGACCTATCATTAACAGAAAACAGGCCAAGACTGATAGGAGACCTCATCAACTCTCCAGACCCATCCACAACCTCAAATAGTATATTAAGCTCACCATCCATAAGACCCGAAGATCCAAAAGTGCAAAAAGTCATTAATTTGTTAATGGACAGCGACCCAAGTTCTCAACATCCCATCGATGGTGAAGCACCAGGGGTACTAAAAAACACATCTGAAACTTTTATCAGCGAGCACGACATCATCATCGAGATAGCCTCCAAGCTAAGCCAACACCGCTCAGAAGCTCAGGAAGTAATTGAAGTTTTTAAAAGCATCAAGAGTAAACCAAAAGGATCAGTCGCACAAGAGCCACACTTCGCAATCTTCACAAAAATTTTGTTAAGGGACAGAACCTTTTTCAGGTCCTTTACCAAAAATGAAAACCTAAAGGGAAACCACCAAAAAGAGTACGAAACTCTTGAAAACAAGTTCCATGAAAACTACAAGAAATGTCACGATATCGGCTACATCAACCGTGCTACCAAGCGAAAAGTCCGTTGGATTTTGAACTCATCTCTCTTCGTCGCATGCCTAAGATTCACAGATCTGACCAAGCTTAAATATTACGAAATTGCACAATTGTTGGAATTCGGATGTAATTACTTCTTTAAAAACAACGACAAGACTGTGGATTATATAGAACTGTTAGAACTCTGTAAGCAGTTGCTTTATGAATCCCTTCCACCCCTTCCTGAAGCTCATGACCAAATCCCAACAGAAATAATAGTCAAACTTCCTTGTCCCTTACCAATTAGAGGAAAAAGATATCTTCCAGCTATTCTTTCAACGCTTCACACATATTATAAGTTTACCCTTCTTCCTGACTCCTACTTCTTCAACCCTCTCCCTCTTCCAGAGGACCCTTCTGA